ATTGGCGATTCACTCGTTACCTAATGAGCTTAGATTATTCATGATTAAAATCAGAAAAGAGTGAAGCTCAATGTGCTAAAATTGTCCGTCTTCATGATGATCTTGCTGTGTATACTGCCGATCACAGTGTTAGCCAGCCATCTTGAGGACCTTATCATCAACCTGAATGGGGATAATGTCTAGATAATTGCTCAACTTTGGGCAGCCAATTGAGCTACACAATAGAGGGTTGTGAACTACTATGTGCTCAAGAGAAAGAAAGATAAAAAGACTGGGTCTGGATCCCGCCCGGAAGGATTCTAGATGATAATGAACGTTCGCCGTAGCTCCATCGGCCCTGCCTTTACTGCTACCTTAATCTGCGAGTTGCCAAGGGTTAGGGTGCGGCCGACTTATGTGACTGCCTCCACGTAATCCGACTACTATCGAAGTCTTAACCACACCACCCACAAAAATCAACGATAACCTCATCTAATTGCGGTCCAACTTCACAACCAACCAACAACCAACCAACGCCTTCAGACACGAATACAACGAATAAAGAGCCAAAAAGATGGCGTAACCAGTTCCGGGTGGGATTTGAACCCACGACCTGAAATGGTATTGAACAGTTCATCCCACTGAGTTTGGCTGAGCTCGCTTAATATTGCCCTACTTGTGATACCTGTGATGTGGCCTATGCTTCCGCTTTTGTGACTGGCTATGTCAACTGCGCCGCACTGGCAGCCTCGTAGGTCCTGATCGGTACTTGGTGGGCGAGAGCTCGTGGTTCTAGTCCCAACTGCCGGGCATTAATTTGTGCGTACTGTAGCCCCTGGCTGAAGTGGCGAGCTGGGCGCCATGCCTTTCTCCGCCCTACAGATTGAGGCTGGCGTGATTTCCTTGCGTGGTTTAGAAAGGAGAATAATGCGCGCAATTCTTTATCTGGAATCGATACTGGTATGTGGCGTTGGACGGGTGGCTGCACTGCGCGGTGTCTGGTATCAGGTGGGACTTGAGTGACCGGTCACAAATACGGTACTGGTCACTGATGCGCCTCTGAGGGGATGCTGACCAGTATCTATAGCTGCGACCAGTCCCAACAGGCAAAGCGATGACTGGTCAGCAGGCGGCGCAGCGCCAACATTGCGACTGGTCACCTTGGTATCTTAGCATTATCGCTGCCTGAAGACTGGTCACAGCGTATAGACACGATACTGGTCACAGTTAATATCCCCCACACGGACGTGTTCCCTGAGCTGGGGGATGACTCTCTCAAGGCCTTGGGGGTCATCGCTGAGCTGGTGGCGGTAGACTGGGTCGTATCGCTCGGCGACCTCATGCGTGCCGATTCACTGACACAGGCGGCGCAAGCAATGACATGCAGCAATGCTGGAGCATTTGTTGACGTGCCCTCTTTCAGCCTGACACCAAGCGATTTCACGCTGGACGTGGATCAGTACGAAGACGTATACCTGGCGACCGAGTTACAGTGCGGCATCATCTCGGCACATGCTACCATTGGCGGCCACGTCTACACTTGCACATTTTTTGTGGATGCGCAAAATATTGACTGGAATAAGCTGCAGGTGGCTTTCCAAAAGGTGTTCGACGAGAACTCCATCTACCGCTCTGTATTCATCCCGAGCGCAGCTGGACACGCCTAGGCAGTTAAAAAGCGCTTTGCTTTGCCCTGGGAATTTTTTGACCATGGAAATGACCCTGAGTTCTCCCTCAAGGACTTTACTCGAAGCCTCGAGGCTAATATTGACGTGGCCGAATCAGCTATAAAAGTGACGGTTCTCAACCGCTCGTTACTTGTCGTCAGCATGCACTACGCTATATTCGACTTTTGGTCGTTGCAATTTCTCTTCGAAGACGCATCAGACATATACAGAGGAGGCACCTCAGTACTGAGGCCACAATTCAACTCTCTTGTAAGTTATGCACAATCATTAGATAGGGATAAGATGGACCAATTCTGAGCAAAGTATCTTGAAGGCGCAGCTACAACAAACCTGGGGGCAGAGCAGCCATTCGCCCCAAACACATCGTCGCGGCGGCCTATTGCCGGGGACATCGGCGAGTTCACGTCCAGAACAGGCTTCTCTGTAGGTGTGCTCCTCTACCTGACCTGGGCCATCGTCCTGGCCAAACATAACGGCAACCTGGATGTGACCTTCGCCATCACGCTGTCCGGGCGGGATATGCCCGTCCAGGGCGTACAGAGTCTCAATCGACACTGACGACCGTCCCGCTGCGTATGCGGCTTGAAGACAGAATGGATACCGCCTAGGGTCTATCGCATGTCTAAGGGGCGTTGTGGGACTTGGCCGAACATGCTCAACAAGGCCTTCGCAGGTCACTACGGGCTGGGGGGCATTCCTCCGACCTCTTTAAAATCACTGGTCAACTTCCTCGTGGTAAATCAAGGTGGGAAATCCACAGGGGGACGCCTCACCGGCTACACAAGCCTTGAGCTTCAAGAAGACCCAGCCGCGCAGGGCCACTTTGTTGTTGGGCTGAGCGGAACATTGGATCCGATCAGAACGGAGTTCGTGGTGCACGAGGTTGCCTCCGTAATCGAGGGCATCCTCGAGGACAGCACGAAACGCATCGCCGACATGGACATCATCACGCCTTCCGAAAGATCACAGCTCAGCATACTTTGTCCTCCGGTAGACAACCACCCTGCGTTGCTGCACAGCAAGATCGAGGAGGCCTCGGCGTCTTGTCCAGACCGAACGGCAATTCAGTACGGGCCGTCCGTAACCTGCACATACGGACAGCTCAACAGACGTGCCAACCAGGTAGCGCAATTCCTGCGATCCAAGGGCTTGGGTCCAGGGAGTCTAGCGCCAATCTGCCTGCCGAAGTCGATTGAGGCCATCGTGGCAATACTTGCTGTGCTCAAGGCAGGGGCAGTGTTTGTGCCCCTGGACCCGGAAAACCCGCCGGAAAGAAACAACTTCATCGTCTAAGACATGTCGGCCACGGTTCTGACATCTTCACCTCACAGACAAGAACCTAAGGGGCATATTTGACACCCAATCTTGTACCGCGGACGTGATAGACGTATACGCCATCAAGTCTGCCCAGCTCGACTCGGCGCCCCTGTACGCGGCTAAGGTGGGCCTAGAAGCAGATTGCCTGGCATATTGTATTTACACGTCCGGGTCAACAGGACTGCCCAAGGGCGTTCCCGTCTCTCATGAGGCCATCTCCGCCGGCATCGACAGCATTATCGAGGCCGAGTCGGTCGAGCCGGGCTGGCGCCTCCTCCAGTTCTCCAACTTTTTCTTCGACGTGTCTGTCAGCGATATCTTTCGCATGCTCAGCGTCGGCGCGACGCTCTGCATGGCGCCCATAGAAGTCATGCTGTCTGACCTGACCAGGGTTATCAACGACATAGGTGTCACCCAACTTTTCATTACCCCCACTGCAACAAAGCTTCTGCGGCCGGATGAGGTACCGGACGTGGAGGGAATCTACCTCGCCGGCAAGCTAGTCCCTGAAGACCTAGCAGAGACATAGACCGCCAGGGACTGTACTGTTATGAACTGTTACGGGCCGACCAAGGCGTCTATACTCTCTGTAATACCTGTGACGCGGTCCGCGCTGCCGCTTTCGTGATTAGCCAAGTCTGCCACGTCGGGGAGGGAGGCCCAACATTGGTGACGTGGCGACCATGTTGAACATCTACCGATCAGACAGCATATTTTATTCGTAGAACCTTGACGCTTCATATACACTCTCCTATAAGATGTGCCCTGTGGGCTTCCTCCGCCGATGTGACAGCGCCTAGTTTGCGCTTCCCACAAGGCGGGAGACCCCAAGCAGCCTGATCAAAGGCTACGGACAGTCAGATCCTTCCTGTCTACTTCACAACTCCTCTAGTCGTCGTTTCCCGTGCGGGGCGATACATATAAGCTCATTAGACACTCAGCTACAGGAGGCTTGGTGTCATGACAGGACTCAAGAGGCCTCAAGTGCTGCTTCAACCAAAAAAAGTCGTATTCGGGGAGCGCCTCGAATTCGCACTCGAGATGACCTCTGCACAGGACCACGGCATGCTCCTTAGCCTCCTCTTCCGTCTTAGGGACGGACACCTGCCTTTCGTAGGTGAAGGAATCAATTTTGAAGCGGCCACCGTCGCCGGGCTTAATGTTAAGGGTGTAAAACACCATGTGTGAAAAGAAGCGGATGATGTGAATGGAAGTGATGCCGGCCTCGTCCGGACCCGTGGCTAAAAAGAACCACTTGTCGTCATGGTCTGCTGGCCTGAAGCCGGCTTGGAGCTTCTTGAAGTCTGCGTCGCTGATGTCGATATGCCATGGTGTTGTCTCAGGCTCTACTATCGGGGGTGGTTTGTACCCTTCGGGCACCAGGTCTTCGAGATCTGATCCTGCGCTGTTCGAGATATGTTGTTAGCGAAAAAGGGCGGTGTTTTCCTAGCTCCGCCACGGGGTGTGCTAGCTCGTACTCTGCGATGACGTCCTTTGGCATGGTGTCACCGTTCATGGCGTCTCGTGGGTGGTATTCTTTTGCTGTTCAAGACGTTGTTATTAGCCATCCATTATATAAGTATATTGGGTGCATGTTCGACCGCGTCTAGAAGTGGGTACAAACTAATAAACCTGGGTTTGATCCGTCTGCACAGGCACGTTAGGTAGATTTGGGGTTCTAATTTTTTATAAAAAAAGTTTTAGGTTTTTTTTTTTTTTTTTTTTTTTTTTTTTTTTTAATTATAAGTAATAAAAAGCAATATAATAATAAAAAAAAATTAATATAAATATAATAGCTGGTTAAATTAAACTCTATAATATAAACAGCTTATGCTTAAGGCAAATTATATTGCTTAGTTATTTATATATACCTCTATACCTAGGTGACTTATATAAGCCGCCGCAGCCAGCCTTGCCAGCCTACTCTCACCATGTACAGCAACAATAAGAAATAGCACATTGCGCGAGGAGAACGTCTGGTGCCTTTGAACAATGTCCAAAAATATAGCCAGACGAAGCTTCGAATGGGACTTGAACCCATGACCTCAGGATTTGCAATCCCACGCTCTACCACTGAGCTATCGAAACGTGTCCTGTGACGAGAAGGGGTGAATCTGATGCATTATATCTTGCAACCCAATGCTCTACCACTGAGCTATCGAAACAGGTCTGGTGATATGAGAGGTTGTGTTTCATGCATTATATCTTGCAATCCCACGCTCTACCACTGAGCTACCGAAACAAGTTCGGTTATGTATGCCACAAGTCGCGATGATTATACCCTCAATGCGGTGTTCTGAACAGATGCGCTTGAAGATGTGTATCGCGGACACGGGTGCGATACACTAGCGCTATCTCGAGCGCAGACCCCGCGGCAGCCATCCGAGAATTTGAGATAAACTGATAAAGTCGTCTACTAGGCCTTTGCATCATGCTGTAATTATCTACGCACGCACACCTACAGGAAGGTATATGGCTTCTCTCATCTCGGCGGCGAATAATACAAGGCAGGCAAGTATACTGCGGGTAGATAGCAAGTAGGTGAGGGACGATCATCGGAGGCTGAAATGCACATGAGAATCGTACATCCACCTCTATCGCCTTGTTCGTCTGCACCTTTCTGCTTTACTCGCATCAGAGGTAGTCAATTGTAATCTTTGCAGCGCTCACATATACCTGCCCAACAGATCACACTCCTTTCTTGTTTATTATCGGGGGGGACCCGATCTGATACAAGGTCTTCTGCGCTCTTGGACCGCGCCAAGGTTCTAGCGCAACGGCGACGGTCGGAAACACGGCACAGTAATGGCACTTCCAAATATGGTGCGGCATTCTACTGGGGGGGCTGCATCCGGATTTCGGACGTCGATCTAGAGGGGTAAATATATAATAACCGACAGTATGGAGCACTATAATGAGGATTCTAGTTTCCAAACATTGAACTCGTGGCGTGAGTTCATGTTGCCAGGCCATGACAGAGCCTCATGATGAGAAGGCTACGGCAGAGCCTCCCGTCACCAGGCCCGAGGCAGATGGCGAGTACGTTGGCGAGACCAAAGCGCCATCACTGGGACACAAGATTGTAAATCTTCTGACATGGTGCCCTCCAAGATGCCGCTGGGACCCTGAAAATCCACCAAAATTCTCCATGGGCCTGAATATCCTCTTCGGGTTCTCAGGAGCATTCACTGTGGCCAATCTGTATTATAACCACCCCATCCTCAACGTTCTGGCAAGTGACTTTGGTGTGCCATATGAGAAAGTCGCCCAGATTCCCACTGCTATGCAAGCTGGATACGCAGCTGGACTACTCTTCTTGTGTCCCTTGGGAGACTCACTCCCAAGGAGACCGTTCACTCTTGGTCTGGTGTTCTTTACGGCAACGATGTGGTCAGTCTGAAAAGCACCGATCCCACGAATATTACTTGTAAACTAATCAAATTGTGTTGGAATATAGGATTGGTCTCTGCGTCACAACTTCGTTCGCCACATTCACCGGCATCTCATTTATCACAGCCGTCACGACCGTCACACCGCAGATCATGCTGCCACTCGTTGGCGATTTAGCACCGCCCGAAAGACGTGCATCTTCACTTTCAATTGTCGTCTCGGGGTTTATGCTGGGTATACTTGTTGCTCGAGTGCTGTCAGGTACCGTGACGAACTACACGTCGTGGCGCAATATGTAAGTAAGAATGGAATTGGTAAAAAGAGTCCCACACGCAAATCCCCCGGAGTATGCCACTTCAAATCATACAGTCAGTCGCTAATGATTGCCAGATACTGGTTGGCGCTAGGGCTACAGTATTTGATCTTCACGTTACTATGGCTGTTCATGCCAGACTATCCGCCCACCAATCCAGCCCTGCGCAGTCTTCGGTCCTACTTGCGCATGCTGTGGTCCATTGTGGAGATATTCTTCGCTCATCCGGTCCTTGTGCAGGCCTGTTTGATTGGATTCTTTACTTCTGCGCCTTTCACTAGCTTTTGGACGACTCTTACGTTCCTACTCGCTGATCCTCCTTACGAGTACTCATCCCTGATTATCGGGCTCTTTGCCTTGTACGTTTCTCCAAGTAGCCATAGTTTACATACCCGCTCTTACTTACTACGTTCTGTAAAAAAAGAATCGGTATTGCTGCCATGTGCGTCACGCCTCTTTACGGCCGAATCATCATCGACCGCCTTACGCCGCTATGGAGCGTGATCCTCGGCGAATCCCTCGCAATGGTGGGCATTTGCTTGGGGACCTACACGGGCCTCTTTACTGTGGCGGGACCCATTTTGCAGGCTTTTCTGCTGGATCTTGGGTTGCAAACGAGCCAAATCGCCAATCGTTCCTCCATTTACGCCATCGCACCGAAAGCTCGCAACCGCGTCAACACGGCTTTTATGGTCTTCACATTCTGCGGGCAATTGACAGGCACAGCAGTGGGAAGTAGCCTCTATGCGCGAGGTGGGTGGGTGGTGAGCGGTAGCTACAGCGTGGCGAGCATCGGCGGGGCTTTGTTGATGTGCTTGCTTCGAGGTCCATGGGAGGAACGATGGATAGGATGGAGAGGTGGTTGGGCTGTATTCCAGAAGAAGCTGCCAGCGTCGTCGACTGATACGAGTGACAAAGCTGATGATGAGCTTGGACAACCTGGGAGCTCACCCGGGCAAGGTGCAAGCAACGGTAGCACGATAGGCCCTTAGAGAAATAGAGATACCGATAGATCCATAACATTATAAGAATATGATCCATGGATTGATGTCCTTATTTCTGGGAGTAGTGGTCTGTCAGACAGAACAGCTCCCTTTGAATCCCATCCGCACCACTGCTCCCAAACCTCCACCACCTAGCCTGCCAAGATCCCATCACATTGATCATGAACCATTTCATGAAGCCCGGCATGTTGGGGAAATCTGCCCATCTGCCTCCTTCAAAGTCCTTGTCCAGATTATACCACAGAATGGGGAGCACATCCGTCATGTGCATATACTTCATGCTGTGGTTGGCAGTCTGTTCCGCGAGCGGCTTAGGGTCGTAATCTCCGTACTGGCCAAGAGACGCCAGCTTAGGCGGCTCATTTGCCAGATGGGTTGCTAAGGTCCCGCCAAATGAGTCCAAAATACTGATAAGTTGTGTACCAGAGTAAGAAGCTGGCGCGGCTAAACAGTTGTCGATGTAGTCCTTGAGGTTGCACAGTCCCTGAGTGAAGGCAGCTGTAACACGATGCCGGAAGCTTCACATTAGTTTACATTCCCTGTTTCACAAGACTTAAGGGGGCCTGAAAAGCATCAGGTCCTCAGCGGGGCTTTTAAGTCTGACAGACCATGTTCATGAATCTCCTCATCCATGATCCCCTTCACCCCTAACGCCTTTTCAAGACCGGGAAAGTAGACCTCCTCTTCAGCATCATGGTGTCCTTTCAGAGCCGTATGCCATGCTGAGCAGTAATGCAAGAAGTCAACGATATCCTCCGGTCGCACCTTGGCGGCTTGCATATACATGCTATTGAATGCGCGGATGAACATGTTGTGCACAAGCGCCATCTGAGAAGCGTCTTCGGTGAACGGGTCATCCTGACGAGAGAGACATCATCAGCCTTTCAACAGGTGGCTTTTCAGGGACAATGACAATCAAACCTTGCCAGTCTGAGTTCGAGGTGTGGGAATCAGACTCAAAGGCCCGTCGGCCTTGCGGGAATGGTGATTCGACATTTCAATCTTGGCCTGTGGTAATTCACTTCACCGACTCTTTCGGTTGGCCTCGGATACTCTTCAGTTAGCTCCGTGGCTTGAGCACCCTGATGTAAGAAGAAGGGATGGCCAGAACAAAAGCGAGGTCAAGTCAGCACCAGGATCGCTCGTCGTTGAGGCCGAATCCTTCTGGGCATAATCAGAGCTACCAAGTTCAGACACAAGAAACACGTCATGTGGCACAGCAAGATACATGATGCCGCCCGACTCAACATTATTCGCTGCATTCAAAATGCTGTTGGTAGCGCTGACGGCTTACTCCCGATAAGTAGTACCCAGGCACCATTGGGGCTGACACTCACCTCGCATCTCAAAGCCTCACTGCACAATTATGATCAAGGGCTAGCGGCTTGTGTGGCCGTCTGGGGAGATATTAGTGGAATATCTCTTGTTGTTTCTTGTGTGCACCTTCGTGCAGCTTTCCTCCACCAGCGCCGACTTGTGTCATGCCATTCCCAAACCTGGGCTGTAGTATATGGAATACAGGTCGTGAAGATTTTGTCTCTGGCGGCTATGGGAAATCCTCATCAAGCACGGTAGTCTCATAGAACCAGATCCTCCAAGATCGCCTCCAACTCCTCCCTGCGAAAGGGCAAACTCAATAGTTCCGTGCCCAGTATATCCTTGCGACTTGTGATCATCTGATGGTCGTGGAATCTGTATATTGAGTCAGCATCTCGTCCTCTTGTCAAGACTGATGCACCACTTACTCCTTGAGCAGCGTCCGGAAAGCCATCTCCGAGCTGCAAATGAATTCCTCGACGGCCTTGTTGTACAACATACGGTACTCTACACCCGGATTTTCACCGCCGGTAGCTGCACCGCTATCGTCCTCCATGGCGACGAGAATCTCTCCGACAAGTAAGCGGAACAAATTCTTTGCATTCTCGGGCAAAGATTTGAGCACGAAGGCCACACCATCCTTCCCACCAACCCGTCTTGCTCGCCTTCCTAGCAACTCGTGCACCTCATCAACGACCTCCAGCTCTGCAGTACTGCGAGACGCAAAGGTTGTGGCATCGTGAAACGCGAAATTAAAATTCGAGCGTTGGCCGCTATCCCACAGCGCGGTGAAGTCGGGCGTATCGACGCTGCAGACCAGGCGGACTCGGTCATGTGCTGCTAATTGTGATAGGATAGTATGAAATTGTGATTTGCGCAAGGGCGGTGCATCAGCAGAATGAACGACGAGTGTGAGGGTCAAGTCTGCTGCAGAAAGAAGGGACAAAATGTCTGGGACCAATGTGGCGGGTTGGCCGGCTGTAAGTTTAGCAGAAGAGTCAACAGCAGAAACGATCATAGTAAGGATTTCGCGAATGTTTGTGGCCCGCACATATCCATTTATG